GCTTTCAGGGGCTCAGCAGTACCTAATTTTCTTGCTTCTCTCCAGCCCTCTCCCCTACCTCTGGTCCAGAGGATTTTTGTCTCACCTGGGGGCAGGAGGAATGCTTTCTCCAGTTATTTTATCTTTAGCCTTAGTCTCTCCTTTTGAAACTTAAAAACCAAGGATTTGACTTTTATTCTCTGTAGTTTGTGATGTCATCTTTTTCCTGAAGCAGCTTATGCTGCTGGGAAAATGTGAAAGGTATGATACACGGAAATTTGGTGGAAAATAGCCCTCCGTTAATATCTCAAACATATTATCTGCCCCATGTGTATGAAAGGTGGACTAATTTTAAGGAATGAAATTAGCCATTGTCACCCTAAATTTCCAAAGTCATTCTCCAGCATCTTTGTCAGTTCACTACTGATTCTAGAAAGAAGCATGCCACTCAGGAAAGAGAGCAGAGACTTTGAAAAATTAGTGAGTCTGCAGGGATACCTGGTTTGGCTGCTGTCATAAAGTTTCTACCCAACAATTAAGGTTCTGATAAAATAAATATCTGTCATGTTATTTAGGAGTGGGTGACAGGCTGAGAGTCACTGAGCAAGTGACAAGCTATCCTTGATGCAGTAAGTTTCCATGGCTGTCTTTGGCTGATAGGACTCTTGTATTAAGTGACATGCAATGAGAGTTTCCTCTGTCAGTTCTGTGACACAATTTCAGGCAAGGAAGATAGAATGTTGTCTTGTCAGCGAGAGATGATTATAATAGATATCACCTGTCTTAATAGCCCTAACTTGGTTGGCAAAGCTGTGGGCAAATGAGACTTCATGCTTTATCATCAGGCTGCCAGATGGGGCTCAGGTAACTATGTAAAATCTCATGCTCTGTTGCGCAATAGTTGATGTTTGCAAGGAAAACTGAGTATCTCAGAGCTCTTCATAGCGTTTGTTCCTTCACATCGAGAGAATATTGCAAGTTTGTGTAAGGCTTTATATTGTCATGTGTAACCACTGTGACTTAGAACTGCATGCTAGCTGGAGCACACAGTACATTACTGAAAAAGCACTATGAAGATGTTGTTGAGCTTTGCCTGCTGCTTCATAATCTTCAAAGTTGTAGAAAAACATAGCTGCATGTGTCATTCTGAGCTTTTTTGTATACTAATAGTCTGAGATGCCAGTCTTGATAACATTAGGCCATTTTTAAACCAATTTCTTGATAGAACAGTCTTCCCTTGTTGTTGATGTTGTTAGGTGCTGTCGAGTCGGTTCTGACTCATAGTGACCCAATGTACAATAGAACAAAACACTGCCCAGTCTTCCACCATCCTCACAATTGTTTTTATGCTTGAGCTTATTGTTGCAGCCACTGTATCAGTCCATCTCATTGAGGGTCTTCCTCTTTTTCGCTGACCCTTTACCAAGCATGATGTCCTTCTCCAGGGTCTGATCCCTCCTGATATCATGTCCAAAGTATGTAAGATGTAGTCTCGCCATCCTTTGCTTCTAAGGAGCATTCTGGCTGTACGTCTTCCAGGACAGCCCTGTTCATTCTTCTGGAAGTCCTTGGTATATTCAGTATTCTTTGCCAGCACTATAATTCAAAGGCATCAGTTCTTCTTTGGTCTTCCTTATTCATTGTCCAGCTTTCCCATGTATATAAGGTGATTGGAATTGGACAATTGTATGGTCTACTGTGCTGGGAGTGACAAATTGAAGAGGAATGGCATTGCATTCATCATCAAAAAGAACATTTCAAGTTGTATCCTGAAGTACAACACTGTCAGTGATAGGATAATATCCATTCACCTACAAGGAAGACCAGTTACATCAATGTACAACATGTAATTATACAGCCAACATTTAATGTCTTCTGGTAGGAGTTCCCTTCTTTTTTTTTTTTTTTTGCATGAACTATACCCATAATACATTGGCTAATATTTCCAGGTTTACCTTCTTTAAAGTGGAATGAGAATTTAGCAATCTGAACACAGAATACTAGATTTTTACATTTTTAATCAACCTTTTGGAGTTGTCTTGCCAATTATTTGACAGCTATTTTCCTTTTTTTTTTTTTTTTTTTGCAGTTTGCCATTCGTTATCAAGTTTTTTTTGGTAAGCATTCAACTTAGTGTTCCTAGGAAAGATAACTCTCTCACACTTATTCTTCATCTGTTTACATCATATTTAAGTCACAAATTCAGCATAGTGAGTACAACTGGCATAAGGAGGTTTAGGGATAAGCACAATGACTTGGGTAAGCAAACATCTGAACTGGAAGGGCAGAATTCATGGGCATGCCAGAGACAGCCTACCAGCCACAGGCATTTCGTGTGGTGAGGGCATCCATCAGATCTGTTACAAAGGGGCTGGAGAACATTGATTAAGCTATGAGTTGGTTAAGGGGACTTTAAGAGAATTTCTACTAGAAATACATTTTCTTTAATATGCATAGGTACTAGCTCCTAAAGAGCATTTTCCTAAAGTGTTTTCTAGCACAGGTCCTGCAGAATTTGTCTTAATGAACAGCCAAAGCTCACATATAATCAGCAGAGTCTTTTTGCACACATAATTGGTGTGCTAATGTGCTTTTCCCCAGCAATCTAGTTTACACCATGGTACTATAATTGGTTTGTTCATCAGATTTTTTTTTTCCTTAAATGGGAAGATATAATTTTTTGGTCCACTCTTCATTGAGTTATCACAATTTTTAAATTAATGATTTAGAGACTTATTGAGATATTGTTCCATTTATACTTGCCAGAGATCCTAAATACCTCTATCAACTTTTTCAGTTAAGTTTGTTCTTCCCTTAAATACTTCCCTTAAATAAAACATGATACACAAAGGATAATTTAAAAAGGAAGTTAAATAGATATTGGTCCTATTAATATTAAGTTGATAGATATTGAAAATTTTAGAGCTGACAGAGCAAGAAGTCCAAGCTGCACTGAAGGCATTGTCAAAAAACAAGGCTCCAGGAATTGACGGAATACTAATTGATATGTTTCAACAAATGGATGCAGTGCTGGAGGTGCTCATTTACCTATGCCAAGAAGTTTGGAAGAGAGCTACCTGGCCAACCTACTGGAAGAAATCCATATTTGTGCTCATTCCAAAGAAAGGTGAGCCGACAGACTGCGGAAATTATTGAACAATGTCATTAATATCACATGCAAGTAAAATATTGCTGAAGATAATTTAAAAATGGTTGCAGCAGTACATCCACAGGGAACTGCCAGAAATTCAGGCTGGATTCACAAGAGGGCTTGGAACCAGGGATGTCATTGCTAATGTTAGATGGATCTTGGCTAAAAGCAGAGAATACCAGAAAGATGTTTACCTGTGTTTTATTGACTATGCAAAGGCATCCAACTGTGGGGATCCTAACAAATTATGGCTAACCTTGCAAAGAATGGGAATTCCAGAACACTTAATTGTGCTAATGCGGGACCTGTACTTAGACCAAGAGGCAGTTGTTTGAACAGAACAAGGGGATACTGGGTAGTTTCAAGTCAAGAAGGGTGTGCGTCAGGGTTGTATCCTTTTACCATGCCTATTCAATCTGTATGCTGAGCAAATAATCCAAGAAGCTGGACTATCTGAAGAAGAACAGGGCATCAGGATTGGAAGAAGACTTATTAAGAGCCTGCATTATGCAGATGACACAACCTTGCTTACTGAAAGTGAAGAGGACTTGAAGCATTTACTGATGAAACTCAAAGACCACAGCCTTCATTATGGATTACACCTCAACATAAAGAAAACAAAAATCTTCACAACTGGACCAATAAGCAACATCATGATAAACGGAGAAAAGATTGAAGTTGTTAAGGATTTCATTTTACTTGCATCCACAGTCAACACCCATGGAAGCAGCAGTTAACAAATCAAGATGATGTATTGCACTGGGCAAATCTGCTGCAAAAGACCTCTTTAAAGTGTTGTAAAGCAAAGATTTCTCTTTGAGGGCTAAGGTGTGCCTAACCTAAGCCATCATATTTTCAGTTGTCACATATGCATGCAAATGATGGACAATGAATAAGGAAGACCAAAGAAGAATTGATGCCTTTGAATTGCGGTATTGGCAAAGAATATTGAATATACCGTGGACTGCCAGAAGAACAAGCAAGTCTGTCTTGGAAGAAATACAGCTAGAGCACTCCTTGGAAACGAGGATGGTGAGACTTCGTCTCATGTACTTTGGACATGTTATCAGGAGCGACTGGTCCCTGGAGAAGGACATCATGCTTGGTAAAGTTGAGGGTCATCGAGAAAGAGGAAGACCTTACAAGGAGACAGATTGACACAGTGGCTGCAACAATAGGCTCAAGTATGGCAATGATTGTGAGGATGGCACAGGACTGGGCAGTGTTTTGTTCTGTTGTGCATGGGATCACTATGAGTCAGAACTGACTCAATGGCACCTAACAACAACAGCATGTATATATATATACACAGACACATATATATACATACACAGACACAGAGAGAGAGTCAGGGAGGGGAAATACAGACATACACAAAGAGTAAGACAGACAGAGTAATAGAGTGAGATAGAGATGGGCAGGGGTAGGAGGCATACACACTCAGAGGGAGAAAGAGAGAGACACCAAGATAGAAATAGAGAAGCAGAAGAAAACATAAAGAGAGAGACAGAACACACAGAGAGAGAGAAAGAGACAGAAACAGAAAGAGTGTGGAGTCAGACACTGAGACCTCTAGAGAGAGCAAGCTCCACCCCAGCAATGTTGCTGGAGATTAGCTCTATCTGCCGTTTTGACCAAAGCTGCAGAGCACACAAGTGTGGAGGTCAGAGGCCTTGGGGAGCTGTGTCACTGACCAGGGCAGGAAAGCAGGCCCATGGACCAAAATGAGACATAGTATCACAATAGGCAATTCCAGACCGGTGAGTAGGTCGTAGCCTGCACATTAATTAGGTGGCCCTGCATCACTTGTTCAGATCTGTTAAATGTGCTTTCTGGCTCTTAATGTATTTTTTAATTTTTTTTGCTGCAGAAAGGTACTGAAGGAAATCTCTGTTGGAGAACTCAATCCAAACGAGACCGTGCAGGCCAATTTGGAGGCCCAGCTCCTCTCCAAGCTGGACCACCCAGCCATTGTCAAGTTCTATGCAAGCTTTGTGGAGCAAGATACTTTCTGCATTATCACGGAGTACTGTGAGGTGAGACTCTCCTCTCCTGTTACTCTTAATAAAAATCCGTTCCGCCATAAAAAGACTTCTCTACAGAAACATCTCATAAGTTCAATAATCAAGCAACAAACTGAATCATGAAAATCTAGGGTCTCATATCTTATAGCTAAGAATAATCATCTCTGTGTAAATGACAAGCTTACTTCTAATGAAGTGTCCCCTCCCCGCCACTTTGGCAAACTCAGAATAAATATATCTTAAAAAATTGCTGAATAATGCTTCAAAATTTTTTTTTTTTCTTTTTTTTTTTGGTCCCCAACCCTTCTCCAATGGCCCAGTGCTTAGTTGGACATTTGAATGCCGTAGCAGAGGCGTGGAGGAACAGAGGTCCATCTCCTGAGTTCTGGGTTCTAGCTCTGTGACTCATTTTCCCCAGCATGCATGGAAGGCCTGCATATTTATTGATTTGTGATTTATGACTTCACGTATTTGCAGTTTTCCCTGATGCTCCATGTTCTCTTCGAGTAATGGTTATGCATTTTACTGAGTCCCGAGTGAGCATGGAGCTGTTTGGAAGGGTGAGAGGGGAGAAATGACAACGCACAGCTAATGGGTATCTTTGTGCTTACTCCTGAGAAACTATGGAGAAGTGAATTACAAGGGTTGCATCAGGCAGGGAATACCTAAAAGTAACTTTGCTCAAAAAATATCTCCCAGAGCAGTCTGGGAACTAGAATTAGCCAAAGTACCTTGGGAGAATTTGGTATTATTCATACTTTAGAATGAATTAAATCAGCTCATCACCTGGATGTTGCTGGAGCCCAGAAGAAATGACGCTGGGAAGAAAGACACTTTTTAGAGTGGAGGGCAGGCCTGCTGGGGTCAAACTCTGGACCACCAGATACAACCTGAGGTGCTGTGTATTTGAGAGGCAGAAGAGGCAGGAGAAGGGGAAGCAGTTCAGAAGGAGTGGGAAAAGCAACAAGACTCACCTTGCCTGCTGTACAGATTAGCTAGGTGTATTAGCCAAAAGGAAAGAAAAATCCAAGTTAAAATATCTGAACGAGTTTGAAATATTCCAAGCCTCGGCCACTCTCCTTCAGCTCAGCCTCCCCAGTCCAGCCCTGAATCTTACCCATATTCTGCTTGGAGGAAAGTAAGGGAAAACAAAAGAAAACAAAACCCAGATTACTTGGATATCTACTTCTCTCTGTCGCCAAGGGATTGTTAAGACAGTCAGTGAGATGATGAGGTCTGGTAAGTGCTGATATTGAATATCTTCTCAGCCAATAATCCAAGCAAGATGACAGCTGTTTGTATGTGTAGCTACACTGTGATCTATTTGTTATAATTTAATCATTTTTCTTCCTTTAGCCCTGTCAGTTAATTATTTTATTTCTTAAACAGTTGACTCTTACTGTTTTTATTATTATACTGATGCTACCTCTACTGCTGTTTTTTTTTTTTTTTTTTTTT